CCCCCCCCCCCCCCCCCCCCCCCCCCCCCCCCCGCACCCGCGCCCCCTGTGCACCCTGCCCGCACTCACCTTCGCCACGATGCAGACCACCGGGGCACTCCCACCAACCGGGTCCGGCTGCACTTGATCCGGGCGGCGGTCATTCGCGAGATCACCAACATGGTGAAGCTGGTGATCGAGGCCCTGGAGCAGGGCCGCATCAAGGCCCCGATCATCGGTGTCCAGGACAGCCGCCTGCCCTTGGTCTCGGTGCAGACCGCCGGCCACCAGGGCCCCCGGCCGTACATGGAAGATCGCTCGGTGGTGGCCCTTTTCGCCGATCAGCTCCCGGTGGATGAGCTCCTGCTCCAGGCCCGGACGGAGGAGCTTGCCGCGGCCGAGGCCGCGGTCGAAGCCGCCGCCGCCGCCGCCACCGCCGAGGCCGCCGCCAAGGCCCATGCCGAGGCCGGCGACGACGCCGACCCCGCCAAGGCCGAGGATGCCACCGGCGAGGATGACGCCCCTGACGCCGCGCCCGCCAACAAGGCGGACGCCCCTGCCGACCCTGAGCCAGTGGCTGCCCCTCCCTCGGAGGAGCCGCTGGCCGCTGGCGGTCCGGCTCCCGATGAGCCGGTCTCCGAGCTGTACCGCCCGCAGGCCCCGGCCAAGGCCACCAAGGTCATCCTGATCGACGAGCTGGAGCAGCCGGGCGCCGGGCCATACCTCGGCCTGTCGGTCGTGCGCCAGGCCAAGTCCCTGCATCCGACCTCGGTGGTGTCCATCTACGATGGCCACGGCGGCATCAGCGTCTGCGAGTACATCGCGCGGAACTTGCACCTGGATTTGATGGCGGCCGAGGCCTTCCGCCAGCCGACGGACTTCCCTCCCAACATGGACCCCAGCATTTCCCCCATCGAAACCACGGAGACCTTCGACGAGGAGGACCCGATCGCGGCGTCCATCTTCGCCACCTTCGTCGGGACCAATGCCAACCTCTTCGATGGCCCGGAGCGCCGGCCCTATGTCGAGACATCCGGCTCGACGGCCGTCGTGTCGGTCATCCACAACAAGCGCGTTTGGATTGCCTGGGCCGGCGATTCGGAGGCCGTGCTTTGCCGGCGCAATGACTCCGGCACGGCCGGGCCGCTCCATGCCCAGGTCATCACCGAGCCCACGCACAAGCCCGGCGACCCGGTTGAGGCTGAGCGCGTGCGCCGCATGGGCGGCGAGGTGTACGGCCGCACCACCAACATGCCCCGTGTGGCTGGCATCCTGGCCGTGTCGCGTGCCTTCGGCAATGGGTGCGTGTATTTTGCTCCTGCGGATGTAGATGGCCACCGGGGGGGG